TCAGATACTAGTTAGCTCTAATTAAATTCTAGCTTGTGTTTTGGTATATATATGTTGATTAGGGTACTGGGCTGTTAGCATTTCCAAATAGTCTAAGGAAAAAAGGCAGTGAAGCCCATTCAGTAGTAAAATTCTCACCTATAAATGCTGTCACTCATTGCTGTTCTGTACTGTAGACAGTTGTATAGATTTTTGTCTCTTGATATGAGGTATGTGCTCAAACAATGATGTCTCAGTTAATATCACCATGAAACAGACTCACGTCTGATTACAGGGTGATGAAGGGGAGGGTGGAGCATATACAGAGCTGTTAATGGGATGTGGCGTCTTTCAGCTTTTGACTCACACATTTGAATCCAGGTTGTCTTAGCTAGTGACCTTTATAGGAACATAAGTGAAATGAGCTGGTGTGGCCAGTCCAGATCCCTATGAGCAGGTACTGGCATCAGTTTACGCCACCGGTGGCATCATCAAGCCAAGTGGTGCTCACCTGTGCAAATACCCCTTTGCCCCCCCGGCTTCAGGTATGCTTTTTTCATGTCAGGGTTGACGCACACAGAACTGCAAAGCAAAAAAAACCCAAACCAACCAAACAAAAAAACCCTCAATTTATTTTTGTCATATCTTATTAATTCAGAGGTTTGAGGATCTCTTGATCTAATACCATCACTGTGATGATTTTCAGAAAGGTGAAACAAAAGAGGCCTTTTTCTCTTGGCTGTTCTTGCATGGGTAATAATTTCTACCTGTAATGGATTTGATGGGCACATCACATATATATCCGTACTGCATTCTGAAAGTCACTTTTCTGATCCCAGATTTTAAGCTATTGCCCAGAGCACTTGATGATCCTCTTGGGGGAAAAAAAAAAAAATCTATTAACCCTTAAAAACTCTGGTTAATTTCATAATCCTTGTTTTCCAGCTGCAGCAAGTTGAAATTTTGCAAAGTGTCTTTCATGCAATTTGGGTTACCTTAAGCTTGAGTATTAAGCTTAAAGTCTCTTAAGTCCAAATTTTCAGCTCAGGAGATATGTAGTTATTGAGCAACTAATGAGAATAGGTCAGATATGCCTCATGTTAGATAATATTACTAGATACTTCTAAATCTTTGGCTTTGTACCTACACCCATTTTCAGCAGAGGAAGATGACACTGCTGCAGATTTTTGAAACTGTCAGGAACTAGCAAAGTGAATGTGCAGTAAGGAGAAAATGGTAGATGAATCCATCTTGGAGTGGCAGAATCTACTGAAAAAAGGGAAGAGAGTACTTGAGCCCATCCAGTCCCCTTTCTGAAGGCCTTTGATTTACATGCTGTCAGACTGAGCTCTCAATATTTGATATCTCGAGATAGATGGTTGGTAGTGGCCAGATTTTGCTTTGGCTGATGCGGACCTAAATCCTGTTCCTTTCCATAGGGGTTACACCTGTATCTTGGAGAGCAGGATTTGGCCTTGATAGTGTTCTCTCAGCAGATGCAGCTGATGATGCATGCTCAAAGGAACGGGAGAATGCAAATTCCCTGTAGGAAGGCAACCGCCAGCCATGTAAACAAAGAAGCCTTCTGGGTTTGCAGCAGTCAGCCCACTTAAGCTGCTGTTTCCATGGCGTACCAGATGCTGGAAAATACGGTTTCTTTAGAGAAAGAAGCTTTTTACAGTCCTGTATTATCTTGTTTGATAATGGACTGTCATCAGGCTGGTACCTCGATGTAGGGGCCACATGCAGGATGTCATACCCCCTCCTCACCCTGCTCCAACCCTTTTCAAATTGTTCTTGATTACAATTCATACTCTGTAGCTTCCAGACAAAGAGGAGGCCAAGTGATTTTTCTGTCCTGGAACAGCATCACTTACTATGTTTTTACACTTCATTGTTACTGCTTAATGTGTTACAATTCCTCCTGATGTGCATGGTCTCACCTCATAACATAGCACATTGGTTTGCTTTTCAGTTTCATTCTGTTTTCCTTTAAAAATGTAATAGAGAGACATATGAAAACTAAAATGCATCTTTCCCTATTTCTAATTTACTAACCTCTCCCCCCCCCCCCCCCAAAAAAAAATTACATCATTATAGCTCTTCACTTATGGCTGTTTAAACCACTGTTTCTCAGTTTGCTTCCTCATCTTTGTGCTCACCCACAGGGTGGTCTTTGGGAGATGAGTAGAGGTCTCTGCCTCCATTTCTGTAGAACAGTTGCAATTATAAACCTTGACAAACCTGCAGTAATGGCTTTTGGAGCAGATTGACATTGGGTAGTGTAAGAAAGAAATGAAGTTGCCAGTAGTACTTATGAGGCTTGCTGTGTTTTCAAACATGACTCATAGGAGGAGGAGGAAGTCCTCAAGGTACTTGTCTATTAGAAGCTGTATTCAGGAATGATGCTGCAAATCTGACAGGCCTATGTGGATGTGACGTATCTCCTGACTGTGCACCTGAGATGGTCCATTGGCTTTTTTCCATGGCTATCAAATGTTAGTATCTCACTTTGCCCTCATTTCCATCCAGCTGAAAGGTTATACCTGTGGAAGTCAGCTGAAAATCTCTCAGGGACTTGGATAGGGATGTTGATTTTGATTTATAACTGCAAATGATAAGCAAATAAAGAAATACTCCTTTTGTAGCATTTCTGAAGCTTTTATCAAATGCAGTAATGCTTTCTTCATTACTACCTTTTTATCTCTTCAGCTTTCTCTTCCTGTTCCTTTTCAACTATATCTCCTTACTATCTTCCTGGCTGCAGATAGAGATTCACACATACCTTCCCTTGCCTGTGCTCTGGTCACTGCCACCTCTCAAGGCTTGGTGCAAGCAGTGTACTGGTGTTTCACCAGCAGCTTGGTGTTCTTCTGGATGCTCACCACACCATATGGAGCCTCAGAGTGGCACCAGAACAGCAGCAGGACTGGTGTGGCTGGTGGGGTCAGGTAGTGCTGGGACTGTAGGCAGAGTGGGATGATGGTGCATCCTGGGGTGTGGCAAACAAGGGCTGCCTCTGCTCCCAAGAATGCTTTGTCCTGATTATCTTGGTTGTTTTTCAACTCCACCCCTCCTACTGTCCTTCAGGTCTGTAGTTTGAGATGGGAGTTAATTTTAGTTAATTTTAAGCCAGTACAATCATTTAGGAGATTGCGAGGTGGAAAACCAGTTATCGGTTAACAGGACTGATTTGAAAAGTGCTCTGTCTGACCCTGCTATGGCAGCAAGTCAGAGTGCTTCCAAGAAGCTGGCTTTCTGGAAGGCTTCTTCACAGAATCATTTGAAGCATAGGTTTCTTGTAAATGTTGAACTCATGCTGGCTCAAAGGAGCACGGCTGGTGGATACGTGGGCAATACGTACATGTGTTCTTGCAGTCCATAGGAAAGCTTAGCCAAAGGATGAAGAAGGGCTGAGGGATTTGGACTTGTTTAGCTTGGAGAAGGCTCTGGAGAGACCTCATTGCAGCCTTCCAGTACTTGAAGGGTGCTTACAAACAAGAGGGGGACCAACTTTTCACACTGTTTAATAGTGGTAGGACAAGGAGGAAAGGCATCAAACTAAAAGAGGGGAAATTTAGATTAGATATTGGGTGAAAGTTCTTTAAATAGAAGTTGGTGAGGCATTGGCACAGGCTGCCCTGAGAAGTTGTGGTGCCCCATCTCTGGAGTCTCAAGGCCGGGTTGGATGGGGCCCTGGGCAGCCTGAGCTGATGAGTGGCAGCCCTGCACATTGCATGGTGTTGGGACTGGGTGGACTTTGGGAAGCATTTTGTCCCATTAAATATATAAACATAGAAACTCCAGGATTTAAAACCAAACCATCAAAAAGAAATCAAATAAAAAAGCACACTTGTGTTAAAAAGAAAGAATTGAGTGGCTTTGTAAAAGGAGGAATGGATGTGGTGACAAGTACTTTACTCATCTGGCTGCTAAGTTAGCACCCAGGGGTGATAAATGAGGTAGCTACTTATGATTAACAGGTTTTCTTTTTAGTGTGCATGCATGTTATGAGGTCTTGTTTATTTATGTTTGTATTTTATATATTTATAATAGTTTATATTGTTCTAGCTAATATTTTGCAGCATGTCTTAAAAACAAGAAAGCTTCAGTATGAGATGTAAGCATTCTACTCTGCCAGTGAGTTTTCTTTGAAAAATGAAGATAGATCACAATAGTCTATCTTGAATTAATATAAATGCAGATTAATGCAGTCAAATGTGTTATTTTTCCATAGATAAGTTACAAACACAATGCAGTATGACTTTCAAATATTGCAGTTTTGTTAAAAACAGATTTCTTTATAGTCACTTTTGGGAATAAATTTTACACACCTTCTTTCAGATTAATCAATTTGAATTCATTTGAGGCACTAACAGTTTAGTTCAGCCGCAGACAGATTTATATAAATGGATACCAATTTTCATCAATTATGAAAATCAAGCACAGTGTAAATTCCATAAGTTTGTTAAAATAAATCTGCTTACTATTCTACAGAATCTCCCAGTGGACTGCCTTTGCTAAATTCCAAATCACTCAAAAAAAACCAAAAACCCCACAATAAAACCCACCAAACGAACAACAAAAAAACACCCATAAACTCAAAAAGCCCGAGACTATCTTTCAATGTTACCTATATTTCTTTAGTGTGTAGTAAGGCATATACTGTGTTATAATAATAATAATATCATTTTTTTCCATCCACGCGCATATTGGAAAAAAATGAGTAAGGACCTTGATCATGAAGTTAGTTAAAAAAAAAACAAAGACAAAAAACCAATATTTTGAAGTGTGGGAGTCCAATGGAAACATGTTTAATGGCTTGCCAGATATTTTTCCTTCACTCATCATTTCTAGACTCTTCGTTCAGAAATGGGCCAAGGGAGCAAGATGAGATTGAGTTAATACCGTGGCTCTTACAGTTGAGGTTCAGAGCTTTGGTGTGAGTGTTAGCAGCACTGTGTAATAGGATTTCTGTTAAGTACTGTTCTAAAATACTGTGATATTTTTCTTTTACCCAGGGCTTTTGGGAAAACCACACAAAACTCATAACGGAGTATGGACCTATTTGTGGGTAAGCTTAGCTGTACCATCAGCTTTCTGCTCCTGTGGTTCTTGCTGTTTGCTTTGGTTTGGGTTTATTGCCAGGGAGAGGAGAATATACCACGACAAGCTGCTCATTAAAATGCAGAGTGCAATATTTCAGTCTGGGTGATACATGTAGACGTTATTTGATCACACACAAAAAGTAACATTGGCTTGTTTTGTTTCAGTATTTGGTGTTGGACTTCATTCTTCCCATATAAATTATTATTATTATTTTTTTTCAGAACTATACAAAGCTACCTGCAACAATTTTCCTTTTTCATCTGCGCATTCTTTCTATTTATGGTGAAGAGCAGAAATAATAACTTAATTTCTTAAACGAAATAACACAAACAGAACCTACCCAATCTATGAAATAGTGTGAATTTGGCTCAGCTGTTGCTATTTATATTTATGCAGAAATATTAATCTTAAAATACAATGAAATACAGTCTAGAGGTGAGGCATTCCTCTCTAAAGCTCAGTTGTGCTCCCTTAGCAGGTTATTAGGAATGAAGAAGGTCCTTCATCCCAGCACTTTCATGTTTCTGTGAATATTATTTCTTTTCCAAGATCTGCTTTCCAGTTTTCGTGGTTTTAACTGGAAGTGCAGTTGCTTTACAGTAACTTCTATTGCTGTGGTCAGTTGGTGCTTCTAGCATAAATATTATTTTAATATTTAGGTATCAAATAATATCCACAAAGTATATACAATATCTTTTTTTTTTTTTTTTTTTTTTTTTTTTTTGAGTGTTCTCTAAGGTTTTTAAGATACAGTATTAGTATACCATATAAGTATTTGTGTATTTGTTCGTAAATAATATAAATATGCTTTGGATGGTCTTCCACTTAAAAAAAAATAATCCCCCCACAACAACAAACAACCTCTACCAGCCATAGAAAGCCCCAGTTGCAGCTTTCTTGTGGCATTTATGCTCAGCCCTAAGGACAAAGTCCTGAAAGAAGTAGTGGAAATAACGAATTCCAAGGGTTAGGTACTTGTCTAAGAGAAAATTATACATTGTCTTGCCTGACCAGAAGTGGAGAAATATATTCATTAACACTGTAGCAATTTGTATGTTGTGTAACAAATGGAAAATGACTGAAGCTTATTATCTCCATGACCTTTGGTGTGATGACGTTAAATAACAATAATGCAGGAACAGTGACATTCCTTCCTCAGCATATTTCCCTCCTTATTAATATCATACCTTTTTTTTCTAAGCTGAATTTGAGACAAGTTGCTATTTAGTTGTCTGTTTTTTTGACCAGGCAGAGGAGGCTTTCTCATGGGAGAAAGAAATATATAATTACAGACTTTGAGCAAATAGATAAAAAGTTTTGTTTTTCCAGTCTACCCATAGCTGTCAGAGAATGAAGCTTCTCTGCTTTGGTTACTAAGCTGGATGGTGGTGGTAGTGGTCAGCAAGAACAACTCTCCCTCCTTGGGATCCAGTAGGTGGGCAGATTGAGTGTAACTGCATACCATTTATTGTGTGCTTGAAAAGCTTCATTTGTGAGAGATCTGGGATGCTGGCAGGGAATAAATGCTGCTTTTGATATTTCCCAGGAAAACAAAGTTGGGCTCAGACATTGCTGTGTTTGAGGTAAGATTGATTTGTAGTTGAAGGAAGACATTTGGAAACCTGACTTACTGAGCTGATGTTCAATAGGTGTGTGGTATGTGTCAGGCGGGTATTTATCGTGGTTCTGTCGATTAAAGAATTTTTTTCTCCTTCTCTGTACATCTGTTTGATTATATTTGTGGTTCTTTGAACTAGCAGTAAATGGTAGGTGCGCTTATGTGCACAACCCCAGCGAAGTATTGGATCTGGCAGTTAGAAGAAGATGTGGCATTTCGCTTTTTCCAGATTGAAAACTGCTTTCCAATAAGCATAAAGAGCAATGATCTTTATTTCTACAGTGGTGAAGTGAGTTGAATACAAATCTTTGGAACTAAAGGCTTTTTTTCTTTCTAAGGTCACTTGAATAGTCTGAATGATACCATCACAACTGTTTTCTTTTGTGTGTGAATTGGTTTCCTTGACAACAGGATGTCAAATCAACTTTTCAGCTTTAATCAAGTCAAAACAATATATCCCTTCCATTCCAAAAGGCCTCAAGTCGTAGAGAATTATTTCAAGTAAGGCTTTTGTAGGTCACAAAAGCATTTTTTTCTTCGCTCCTGTGTGCTGATCCAAAGGAGAGGTGATGGTATTACTCTTTTATATGGAGAGACAATGCAAATTGTCTTTGGATGTGAATGTGTGCTGTGAGAACTGTCTGTTTTCATACAGAGGTGGCCCAAGATGGAGGCCGAGGGGGAAACGAACAGCTCTGGTTGCTGTAAAAGTAGAGGTGGAGCATTTCTGTTCAGTGGGGAAAAGGCATGCCACTGATAGCACTTCTGATGAGTTCATGCGTCAAAGTGATAGGCTTTGGTTTGGCTGTATTTTTGAGCATCTTAAAAAAAAATAAATTAAAATCTACCCTCTAAAATGTATGTGCTGGTTCTCTGAAGCAAAAATACAAAGTGAACAATATCCTGCTTGGAAAGCAATGTAGTCTTGGTTTCGGTTACTTTAGTCTCTTATTTTTAGGCTATTCTTTTTTGATGTTTTATTTTCACCCCACTAAATCCAACTGTTTTATTTCAATTGCAGACCATGACAACTAGTGAGAAATAGCTGGTAAGAGGAGACAAAGAAATAAGGAACTTCTGGTGGTGAAGAGGAGAAGTGAATGGGTAGTGTGCTTGATAGAGTCAGAATGGCAATTGCTAATATGTTAGCACAGCTGTATAGGCAATGATTTGATTTTATTTCACATACATGCTTTGTATGCATGTGCCCTCTTACTGTGATTGCATCATTATGACTTAACAGTACTGTGAGTACTGGTGATTTGGAGGGGGAGAATAAATAACAGATTATTGGCCCAACAATACACCACCAGTGAATAATGAGAAAATAGAACACAGCCACAAGGCAGGTAACTGCTTCTGGGATCAGTGAATCTATTCTGCCTTCAGCCACGGCAGTGCGTTTGAACATGAGGAAGAATGTAGGAGTTCATAATGTAGATCTTGCTGTGTATAATAAAGAATGAAAGATTTAAATTTGGCGCAATTTGTGGGGTGATGCTCTTTCTTCATTGCCTGTTGCATCAGAAACAACTTGCACCAGATCAAACCCTACTCTTACTCTTACTTCACTTGAACGCTCAACTCAACCTTCTGTGAGAATTGTGAACAACTGTGTAGTAGAATGAGTGCTAACCAGGACAGGAACAAAGTATAAGGCAGAGGTGAAGAAACTGGTTCAAAAGAAGCAAGAAGAGTGAGGTTGGATTAAAACACTCCTACAAATGAGGCAGCAGAGAGTTTGAGTCCAGGGCTGTCAGATTATGTACTGCTAAGTGAAGTCAACAAGCTCAAAATCTGCATTTTCTGATGGCAGGGAGGAATGAATGGGAATGTTTCTGAGATGTGGTTTTAAACCAGTGTCAGTCCTCATTGAATCCATCAGCAGCAAACTTCAGCTACCTGTGCAGATCTTCTGCTGGCTTCCTGCATTAGCATCCCATGATCAGCACAGTATCACAGAAAACATGTCAAGATGCAGGTAGAAAAATGGGTTCACGTGCACTCCTGGAGCACTTCATGAGAACACGGATGTGAATGTAGTTCTATTCCCTTGTTGTTTTGCAGCAGGTTACTTCAACACATTTTAAAGTAATACAAAGTAAGCAACTTAAAATAGGGCAGACAATTCAGGTGTTTACAAAATTATACATTGTCTGTTTTTTCTGTTTGTTTTCTTTTTTTGATTAAAGACTTGAATAGTTTCCTAATAGGTCATTATTGGAACCAAGACTTAGTCTGGTCACTTAAATGGTTGGGTGGTTTAAAGGATTAGGATAGATCATGTAGCCAGTCACTAACTTGAAATGTGTCCAGGGCTTAGTTGTGATTGTAAACTACACTGGCAGCTGACAGCTTTTCAGAAGTCTATGCAGCTGGAGTTTGTTCTGTCTTAATGCTTGACTTCTCCTCTCCTGAAAAAATGGTTGCTGCAGATGGCACTAGTTAGCATTCCTGCAGATGAGTCCTGAGTCAAACGGTTGCGGACAAAAAACAGGCTTTTCTTGCTGTGGCTGCTGGCCTCTGCAGCAGGGCTGAGGCACACCGGTCTGTCCCTGCAGAGATCTGGGGCTTTCCCCTTCTGTGTACAGAAGAGTGACATGCTTTTGTGGGATTTGGAAGCCTGGAACTTTCATGAGTCAGTTTCTCTCCTTAAACACGGTATTGAGGACCTAAAGTGGACAAGGGCAGGATTTCATCCTGCAGGAGCAACTGGTGTCTTCATCATGTACTTAATGTATCTGAAGAAACACGTTTTTGCTGCCATTTTAATTTCACAAGCTTATTGGGTTTTGTTTGTTTGTTTGTTTGTTTGTTTGTTTGTTGTTGCTGTTGTGTTTTTTACCTCTTGGTTTTCAGTTTTATTCAACTCTTAGTGTCTCTCCACAGTAATCCCAGGGCAGGCATTCTCATCTTTGTCTCTGACGGCTCATGCAAAGAATTAATTTAGTTTTATGAAACAATCTTACCCTGTTTGGTTTCCTCTTTTACATTGGGAGTCTAATGGACTTTCTACCTCTCCCGTGGCCCTTTCTGTATTTTGATAATTTAGACAATTCACTTTTCATATTTCAGTTAGAGAAAATCATTCTTGGGCAAGCAAAGGAGAGAGAATTGAAGCAAGCTTCCTGTATCTGATCTACAGCTCCTCGTAATCTCTGTCTTGCATTTAACCTGATAAAGATTTTTGGTAGCTTCACTTGCTTGGATTTTTGTTTTCTTAAAGCCAAACAATTTTTTGGCCAGAGTTGAGGCTTTCAGAATCTGTCAGGATTCTTTTCTTCACAGTCTTTTCATTTCTGTATTTTGATAAGGCCCTTTGACTTTAAAGGATTATTGAACACACC